TTATGTACTGGATCAATGCAACATCTCCCACAAGAATAATAGTGTGATAAGGCTTCTCGGAGGCTTGAAATCAATCGACATTTATCTCAAAAACACATCACATGACCAAACGTTTACCATAGCGCACATCTTCCCACGTAGAAAAGAAACCATTAATGGTAAGCAGACGCAATATCCAATTCCCGAGTTGTTCGTGGCCGGATGGTAACCAGGCAGGTCTACGTCTTCAGTTTTTCATCGAACTGGACAAGCCTGTCTTCACCATGGAACTTCTAACCTTCGCCCCTAGTTCGAAGATCCACAACTCGTATCGTCGTGGGTTCATGAGCCGAGGCTGCGCGCTGCAGACAGTACCACCCAATTGACGCTTAGCGGCCAATATTTCCATGTACTTTTCCTTTTAATTTGTTTTCTCATTGGTTCATTCCAGTCTTTCTTTAATATCAATCGGGAGGCATCTCTCGGAGTGATAACGAGTGTTTTGTAGCACTTATAAGTTTACTCAGAAACTAGATGTCCTTGCTCACATTGAGTTCCGTTCAGCTATTTACAGCACTTAGTTCATCCTATTACTTTTGTATTCCTTTTTGCTCTGATTCGACAATTTGCCGAAAAGCAGCAGCCATTATATTTGTCATAACCAGCGCTCTGTAAATAATGTTCGTAACGGAGCGAAAACAGAGCCTACGATTAGTCAGTGAGCAGAAGCTATTCCTTAAGTCTGGCCCGCTCCCAACCTAAGGGAATGTCCTACATTTGCAGCTTGAAATTGCTTGATAAGTGTGCTACGGCTCTGCCATACATTATCGTCTCCGCCCCAGTTCTCGCGATCTCCATCATTTTCTATCGCTCCACTGTACGATCACCTAATAACGGGTGAGTCGTTATTGTGTACTTCTCGCCATTTCCATGGTTTGGCTTCCTCTTTCGTATGCTTAATGTCTCGTCGTGCTGTATTCTTTTTATAGTCTGTAATACGAGTGCTAATCGTTATTGGGGAGCGCACGCCGGCTCGCGGCGAGTGATGACTCATCGGCTCTTCCGCTTCCTCCTCGGCAAAATAGAAGTAATTTTATATTTAGGACGAGGATATAACACCATCTTAGCTATATTCAATTGTTAAAATAGTCAACGCTGAAAAGTGTGAGGAAAAAATTGTAGACTGGAAGGTTCTACTGCAAAAGATTACTGCCTGTATGTTGTTTACTGTTATTGTTGACTACGACAAATCAAACACTTGTTTTCAGCTTCTGGGGGTTTCTTAGCAAATTCCCGGTGTATCTTGTTTGTTTTATTTCCATTTGGCCGCTGAATGGCGCTTCAAGTAATGCCTATTAGTGAATAGGCTTAAATAAAGCAATTTTTCTTCGCTAGAGATTTACATAACACTTTGACATTAGTATCTGACCATGAGCTCCACCATCCACGGCTGCAATTGGGGGTCTGCTTAATGTATAGTGATAGCATTGCATGGAGCTAACAACAAACCTTGCTTTTTGTTCAGTTTTCATTGCTCGTGGAATAGGTAGGTGCGTGGTTTTTCCTCTATGCCGACAACCTGCTTACTAATTAACTCTTTTGTTTTGTTGTTTCTATATGGTGAACTATTTAATTCAGTTTCTCCGAATTGCTAAATAATGTTTCTGTTTTTTCCCCAAACGGTGTTGCCGTGAAATATCCTGTTACTTGTCTCAGCCCTTTAGCTAGTCAGTACCAGCAAACGAATGTTGATGTTGAAGTGAACCGGGCACGATTCGGCTAAGGGGGTAAGCATTTGGAGGACTTGTTGGGCAGAGTTAGGGTCACCGTAACGGGGCTGAGGACTTTCGCATAGAATAGGAGGATTTCCGGCGTCAGTGAACCAACTTTTCTCTATCCCAAAACAATGCAGTAAATCTAAAATCTGCGCATGACCTTCAAATGCCCCTCATAGCCGTTTTGCTTCCTGCACTCAATGCGTGGGGCAGCACTTGGCAAAGAAATAAGTTACAAACTATGCCTTCAACTTCTTGCTGAATTTCTCGTTCTGTGAAGGTACAGTCAGTCCTGCTTTGTGATGGTTCCATAGGCGTAAGAGTGTGTCCATGCTTCGCGTCACGTTTTCGGCATACGGCAGTATTTCGCGACTGGGAAACACATATGTACCGATTCCGTTCTGAGCGCACGCCACAGTTTAGGGCGTTTGCGTTTCGCAGGTAATTGATGAATATGCTGCCGTACGGTGCCGCACGCTGAATGAATACCTATACCTTCTTAGTTGCGCAAAACGTGGGCTACGCTTAATACTCTGTCAGGCACCCAGAACGCTGACGCAATGTATGAACGCGTTCTACTATGGTGCAACAACCAAAGTCCCAAACGCACTTTAGCAACTTTTTTGTGATTTTCTAAGTTGTATCGTTGAAAGGTTCAACCGAACATCTTGTATCTCGCTTTCCGTCATTGTCGTTACGGTTGCTTCCGTTTACGTTAGGTTTTGAGAGAAAGCAGGAATTACTTCAGGAGTATTGCAGCGATGAATGTGACTGCTGTTGGGCCGCAGATGCGAGCATTCACTTGTCGACTGCGACAGTTCTCCACTCAGGCCACAAATCACTCATCCATCTGTGGTCTTCGTTAAGGACGTACAAGGTACGTAAAAATTTCTTGCTGAGCCTTATTTTAGAAGCTGGTATAGGCCGTCTTGGCTTTTTTACGACGGGTCGAGTATATATCTCTACGAAAGCATCAGAGAACCACCCTATCCACGGTTGCGAATAATAGGTGATGGAGTTAGGGAACAAAAGGGTTTGTATTAGTTGAGATACCTGTGGAAGGTCAGGAGGCGCCGTCGAAAATGTCTTGAATAATACCCTTATTGGTTATGTGCGTTGCAGTAAGCATATTACGAAGACACTTTGAGCGCGCAGAGGAGAAACGAGGTGACGGAAGTGAGTACAACGGCAAACACACGTCTTGGGCGGATTGCGAATGGAAATTAAAGAGGTGGGGGCAAGCTGTGGGGGCGGAGCCTTTTCATCGTGGTACAACTTTGCCGTCCTTATAAGGCATTTAAGAGCTGCAAATGTGGTATATCTTCTGCGATTGTGGACTGCGCCACTTTGTTTAGAGAGGGAAATCTGCACATCAAGTTATGCGGGGGGGGGTCCTTACGTGCCCTCAGTTGAAGTGATACAGACGGAAGCGAAACTGGGCTTCATTTGGATTCAGCGTCGCTTGAAATGTGATGGACTGATGATTGTCTCTTTCAGCTCGCCAAAACTCCCTTCTTGGGCCCGATAAGCAGTTCCCTTTGAATGGAGATGTGTGTCCGAAAATTCTTCTCCAAGAGCGATCATTTGTTCAGGTGAGATTTATATATCATCTGTGACAGTGGCAGTTGCTGCCGCTTCCATTAAATTTGTGAACAATTTCTATCCCGACCAGGCATTCCATCTTTCCTCAGTCGATTTCATAGTATTAGATAGAGAGGGTATAAGAACTAGAGCGTAGCAAATCTCCCGGTCAGGTCCTTTAACCACATTGAGAATTTCGCAGCTCGCCAAGATCATTCAAATGCTGTCAGGACTTGTTTTCAATATGAATAAGAGTGTTGTAAAGAATGCAGCAGTTGTTCTACGATTTCCTCATTAAGACAGTGCGGTAGAACCTTTGATAAAACCATGTTTTGTCAAGATTTCAACACTAATAAGGCCCGATAGCACCGTTGAGATGTGGTGCTAGAAACGCAGTCTATTAAAACAATACTAAAGGATCATAGTGTTTCTACCCGACATGTTTACCCTCCCCACGGTGAGATATACCATTTGCGGTTTAATAGTGACCTGACCTCTCGATCGACTTGCACACTCCCGATAAGAACACTCCCGCATGCATCGACTCCCCAAAAAAGCTGCCGCTACCTTTGCGAATACAATTCGAACACATTGCGCGTCTAGAAAATATTGGCGAACACTGCGCGCTTTTTCTTTATCGTTTGTATGCCTTATCTTATGAAAACAGCTGTAAAGTTCGCGCCCATCGCGACAGAACCTTGATCGATTTTTGTAATATCGATATTTCTTCTACACCTCAATATTTAGATGAATCGCGACCTTCTATATTATTTACGTCTTTTCGGGTATATTTTGGAAGAGCTCACGGCATCGTTAACTTTCTTGTTCATAGAAACATACAATTTCACGACAGCTTAAAAGCTGCTGGGAGTATTCCAGTTGTGCTCCTGCTAAAGTCACGCATTTGATCTACTATGCTAGGTCCTTGGTGTGATAGGTTTCGATTTGCAAGGGTTCGACATTTTTTTCATTTCTGCCCGTCTGTGTGAGGTACTGCTGTGTTGTTGTAGCCGGTTTTTTTGCCATACTGTCGCAATATCAGCCAGTGTCCTTATTGCATCAGGGTCAAGGTGATTTGTCTCCAGGTTATCCCGAAAGCCATAGCTATGCTCTTGGCAATGGCTAAATGAGACCCCAGATTGAAGGTTGATGCGATCGCATCAGATCACATCTTGGTCGGCGTAGTATCGCGACTAGTCCTCTCGCGGGCGTTCTGTACGGTTTTATTCCCACCGTAGTTTGAATCTAATCACTTTGTGGTCCTTCGCTTAGTTTGTGTCAACGTCGTGACACTGAGGACTACTCCCAAGTACATTATTATGACTCAAATTTTTTCTTATAATTTTTAATTTTTTTCTCGATGACATCACATTTATGGTTGTACTCGTTTCAAGTTTGATACTCTCTGGTAACTCTGCGTCCCGGCTGAAAAGGAAGCAGGAAAAACGATAAAAGATGGAGTCTCACCCACTGCCTGGGCGAAATCCACCACCAAAGCGAATAAAATGTACACTTGCTATTTCTATAATACCATGTAGTCTTTCGTCTGAACTTTCTTTCCAGTTAAACGCTTTCCTCCCTAGAGCTCACACTGATTCTCGCTCTGTAATATGCGGGTGACTTGATTGAACACTTTCGTTTTAGCGCCCTGCAGTACCGTCAATAATGGATCAGAACACTCATAGCGTTCAGGACTTGTTGTCAACTTCACGGGTTGACGCGGATGCAAATTATTCATTGAAAATCCAGGAGTCACTTTTAGAAGAGGTAAACTGAGATATTTGTGAAGAAGACTATTATCAAGCAGGCAAAGACACCAAAAGTTCTGCAACAGTTACTAGATACTTATTCTCTCGAATTTTCCACCCAGGGAACAGCGTTGGGTAGTACCCATAAGGGAGATCGTTTTTGGGTGCGTGAGAAGAGGATCGCATTCGGACTCGAGGGTAAATTTCTGGAACGTTTCCAGGTTGTGAAGGGAGGGGCCGTACCGGAATAGGCCTGTAGGCCGGACTTTGCGGAGGGACGTCGCACTGACACCCATCCCAACGTTGTACCCTGCTCCACACCTCACTGATACAAAATTTACTGTAGAAAAATTTTCAGGCGCAAGCAAATGCTGGTGATTGGCCCGTTGAACTGACCGTTCAGGAATGCCCGCGACTGCTGAAGAAAGGTACGTACCGAGTTTTTAGTTTGAAGAGATAGAATTTTCTAATTAACTGAAGCGCTGAACGTCAAACCCTCATTTTCTTGGGAAATCAGTTCGTGTCATCTTTCTCAACCACCACCTGATAGCTACGTCTTTGCGATTTTCCATTATTTCATTGAGGTCCTGCCTTCAGATATGAAACATCTCTTCCCTGGAATGCATTTTGACGATGTAAATGTCAGTGTGATCAATATTACTCAGAAGACAGAAAATGATATGAAGGCATGGAGCGAAGAAATGGAGCAGGAACGTGAGATGCTTACTGCTTCGGTGAGTTTATAATTCCCCTTTTGTTTGTGTTTTTATTTGTTTATTCCTTTGATTGTCATCCAATTCTATTAACTTTAGTTCATCACTTCTGCTACTGCTATCTGTACAACTCTACGTCGTTGTGGATACTGGGCTGATTTCATCGACCCTTCGTCTGGTAGACCATACCTAGGTGAATTTTGGACATTATTTATTGACTTAAGAAAACTCTGTTTTTGAATGGCATCAGTGGCAAAGTGCTCTTTCAATTCACTGTTTCCTTGAGAAAAGAATTTCGCAGAAAAAAATGACGCCGCTGCTTTTTTTTCGGATCTTGACAAACTGCATTTATTTACGCTCCTTTCTTCTTTTGGTGGGAGTTTCCAATGTGTCTTTTTGGTAATACTTTTTCTTACAGGAAAGTTCACCAATTACACTTTATTCGAGACGGACGATGCCTACAAACAGATGGGCTTCCGCATTGAAGATCTTGGTTGCTGCAAGGTACCTATCGTTGCTGTAGTTACCGATAGCTGGACTTTCGTACAAAATTTATTATTAATTATTCCTAAGCCATCATACTCTGCTCGCCGTTTGTTGAGGAAGTTTCGAGCGCTGCTCCTATATACTTTAGCAACCCCGTGCGTTATCATTAGGCCACTTATCGTCGGATGGCGTCCCATGGCTCTGGAAATGAGGAAAGGAATGAATCATATTCTGCAAAATTAGAAAACCCATTTTATAGAAGCGAATAAGTCTACCCAGTACGGAGCTCTTTACTTCTAGGCGTAAGCGGAAACACATATCTCATACGTGCCCGTGCAACATGAGAAAAAAATCATGGAGTGAAACTCTGTCGTAGCAAACTGTCATGAGACCTCGGAC